CAAAATAAGGTGACGTCGACTCATGGCACGGAGATCCTATTCCCGGGCGACAATTCAGGAGGTGTTCCTCCTTGAGTTCGCCGGTGAGTGATCGCCCGCATGCTGATCGTTGACTGTGAGTCCTGCCCTGCAAGTCCTGTCGATCTGTGCAGTGAGCGATTCATAGACATGGGAGTGCATGATGGTCTACCTCATTCCTTCTTCGAGAAGTGAGAGGTGGGGCCGAGCCAACCTTGTTTCCTTGTGCGAGGTTTGGCTCGTTGATCGGCAAAAGCATTCACGAGTAGCGGTAGATCATTTGGACATCTTCCTAGGGGTCGCAAGTATGGGTTTTCTGAGAAAAACCCCTAGATGCAACCCCTCTAGGTGTCGCAAGTATGGGTTTTCTGAGAAAAACCCCCAGATGCAGCTGTGTGATATTATGAAGGTGTCAGTGTTACCTCACAACTGCCAGTTGTAGGACGGGCGGGTGCACCATGGCATTGATCGCATCGGAAGCTGCCTTTTTGCAAAGATGCACCGAGGTGTCTCCAGATGGTTCGTTGCATACGGCATTGCTCGGCCAGGGCATAAAGAACTTCCGACAACTAGCCTTTTCGATAGGAACGCCTCGAGTGGAGCCGTCGGCCGCTCAGTATCTCGAATTGGCGACCCAGATTTTTGGTGCAAGCCCTTCGCTGGGAAACGTGGCAATGTTGCGTGACTTACACTTTGAATCAACGACCTACGTGATACAGGTGTTCAAAGAGCAAGCCACTTCAGACGGCACAGACACACAGGTGAAGAGATTGCCCATGCCAGAGCGCGCAGCGAGGGCAGCAGAGCAGCAACGTCGTTTGTGCGGGGTGTCAATTTCAGGGGAACTGCAACCTTCGTATAGCCTCATCGACAAGTGCAATACCATGTATGAATCAGGAGCCCTTGTTTGGCTAGCACCTTCTGTTTGCAGCAAGAGGGATGCCGAGGTGTCTCTAGGTGTCAACGAGAAATCTCCTGTTGTTCATTTGGAAAAGGATTCGTTGAAGCTTGCGGCCCCCGCGCAGAAGATTCCAGTTGACTTGTCGAGCCCGCTGTGCTTGCAGTGGGCGTGGCAGAGAAGAGGCATTGCTTTGGATCAGTGTAGTCTGCTCACCTGGAAAGTTCACGAAGAGTATGTTCATCGTTTGTTGAACTTTTTGACTGCGCCTGTACCAGCAGGGTGGACTCAGGTGAAGCCAGAGCAGCTTATTCGTGCTGATAAGGAGGTGTGGACTTTGTTGGCCAGGGAGGTTCCTCCTCCCTACAAGACACTAGCTGATGGCACTAAGCCTTTGGATCAACCTTTCAAGGCGATGGCTTTTGACCAACGCATCCAGGTGTGGCTGTCTCCAGTTTTGAATACTGGGGCGCCGACTGGGGGCTCAGGCTCCTCAACCGATGCGGCCATGCCCTACATGCCCGAGATTCCTCCTCATGTGCCGAGGCCTCCCAGAAAGCCTAAACTCCGCAAGAAAGCCAGCAAGCTGATGCCAGATGCCTTTAAGAAGTGCCCTCGGTTCGCCAAGGGCCCAACATGNNGGCTGCTCAGCAGAGACTAAGGTCGTGGATGGCTTGCCCCGTTGTGCCAAAGGTTTTCACGTGTGCATTCAGTGCCATAAGCCAAACCACAGCTTCAGCACTTGCAGGGCGAAGCCCAAGTCGTGACTATCAGAAGGTCTTGGGTCAGTGGATCCGGGCCCCGAGCCTGCGCCTACTGACCCCGCCATCATTGCAGGATCTCATGATGCCTCTTTGAAAAAGAGGAAGTCGTCGAATTTGTCAGCTGTTGATGAACTGGTTGCATCTTTACAAAATAAACCTTTGCAAAGGTGCGACATCCTTGAGTTGTTTGATGCATTGCCCAAGTCGCCTTCCCCTCGCCAGTCTGAAGGACAGGGAGAGGCTTTTTCAGCTGGAAGTTTTGTGCATGGAGGAGTCGTGGGACTACAAAACAACACCAGTGTTTTCGCCGGTGCCGTAAAGTTGATATGTAAGTTCTTGCGTGGATTGATGAACGGTGCACCCTTCACTTCATTCACGATCTTGGATCAGTGCATGAGCAGCCTGCATGTTGACTCAAACAACGAGCCTGAAAGTTGGAACTTGGTAGTGCCTCTTTCCGAGTTCCGTGGGGGTAACCTTTGGTATGAATGTGAACAAGGCTGCGAACCCTGCCCGTCTGATCCGAGACTGTTTGGAAAAATCCTGCGCTTGGAGCTGGGGCCTCAGTGGTTGTCGGCCACGAGGCACAAACA